AACGATGACACGGTGACGGTTATGGATTAACAAAGTTGCGTGCCGCTGAGCGTATCGGCGTTGGCTCGCGCATACCGTACGTTAAAAAAAGGCTCGTGCACACCCTCGCCTTCGGTGAGGATGCCTGCTTGCTTGCTTGCTTGCCTTTCTGCCTTCAATACGCTCTCGCCTATGCCGCTCGTTAAATGGCTCTAAACGTCGACTTTGTACTTACCACTACTCTACTACTATTACTACTACTACTGCTGCTGCTGCTGTTGCATCTGCGGCTACTACTATTATTACTACTACTACTACTACTACTACTACTACTACTACTACTACTACTACTACTACTACTACTACTACTACTATCACTACTACTACTACTACTACTTCTTCTTGTCTTACTATTAAAGCCTATTCTTATAAAGAACAAAGTATATTTATACATCATCGACGGTTTCGATCCTTTTTACAGCACTCGTGTACCAAATAGGGCTCTCTCTCCTTTTTATAAATACATAGGTATATCAAGTTGAGTCAATTTGTAAGTAAAATTTCTCCTTGGTACGGTTGACAGCGTCGTTGTTATTTCTTTATTATATTATGGGCAAATGTAAAGAGAAAAAAAAAGAAGAAGAAGAGAAAAAGAAAGAAAGAAGGAAGGAAGGAAGGAAGGAAGAAACAAAGTGGTTCTTTAGAATCTCAAGCGTAGTCGATAGGTTACAAAGAGACGCGCGAGTAAACATCGGCAAAGCTGTCGGAACGATAATACTAGGCGGTGTACTATGGCGCCGATCTCGCATTCCAAGCCACCCCGTATCGCGCCGATACCGTATAAGAATCAATTACCGACGGCCGTTTGTGCCAGCGTGATTAAACCGAGGACTAGAGCATGCCGAGAGAGAAAGACAGAACCTCGATATAAATAATGTAAATCACTTTGAGCTCGTGTCCAGGCCGATATTATCAGACCACCACACCACCATCACCATCACCACCACCACTTCTTCTTCTTCTTCTTCTTCTTCTTCTTCTTCTTTTTCTCTTTCTTCTTTCTTATTCGTCGTCCTGCTGTCGAATGAATTTATCGTGTCCCGAACATAAGAAGGCGAATGGGCCCGAGCTAACTTTCCGTCCACCATGGTTGATAATAATTTATTAATTTCGATCGAATCGATACTAGTTTCTTCTCTCTCTCTCTCTCTCTCTCTCTCTCTCTGTCTCTTCAAAGGGTTTGGCCGATACTTGGAAAACAGAGCAATACTCTTTGGATAAGCCCGTCGTTCTCCTTCTCGATGCGACCGTTCGAATACTCATCGATTCTCCAGAAGAATATTTATTATTCCTTCGTGGGTAGGCTCTTGAACATAGAAATTGATTTATTTATCGAGTACGATCGTCATTCGATTAATCGTCTTCTCTTAAAAGACAGAGAAAGAAAGAGAGAGAGAGAGAGATCAAGAGAAAGGATAGTTACGTTTGACGAGGCAATTACCTTAAAAGGATTTGCAAAATGTCAAGAAGCTTCGAAAAGTTTACGAATAATTCTTCGTGGACTCTAAAAGAGAGAAAGAGATAGATAGAGATAGACAGAGAGAGAGAGAGAGAGAGAGAGAGAGAGAGAGAAAGCGAGAAACAACCGTTCGGTCTTTCTCGTCGTTGGGCAAACATCCAAGCGAGTTCAATTTCTGCCCGTACCGAGCAACTTCCACCTTCTCTCTTTCTCTCGATGTTTCATGCAGGAAGCAAGACTCGTTTTAGCGAAATTTTCAACGTTCTCTCTTCAGCGTGCATGTTAAAAAAAAGAAAAAAAAAACAAAAAAAAAAAAAACAAAATAAATAAAAAGAAAAAAAAAGAGAAAAAAGGCAAGAGGAAAAAGAAAAAAATCGAAAGAAAAAAGGAAAAAGGAGAAACGTAACAAGGTCGAATCAAACAGATCCAGATTGGATCTTTTTGGCGATGGTGACCGTCAAAAGGTTAAACCGTTTCTTTAGCTCTTCAGATTTTCTACATTACTTCGAGAATTATATCTCCAAGTTGATCGAACGCATTCAAGCATTGTAGAGATACGTTAGAAACGGGACAATTTCGAGGACGTTTCGTGATCAATCGACATCGTGTAACGATTTTTCAAACGAACGAGACACAGTAAGAGAAAGAGCAAAGCGCGAAACGCGCCATTGAGAGTGTCAGACTCTCTCGATTCTATTCTGAGTCAACGACACCGGCACGTTGCGGCAAGGCACCTTCGTGCTCGGGTCCTTGACTTCTCTAGGCTACGAGCGCCGTTCGTTCCGAGACTTTTGCCTGCGATATACGAAGATAAAACGAGTAGTAGTACCGTAGCGTACCAGCATAGGCCACAGATAGGAATAGAGTCGGCACCCACTGTCTTTTCTCTCTTTCCGTCTTGTCCAAACGAAAGAAAGAGAGAAAGAGAGAGAGAGAGAGAGAGACAGAAAGGAACGGCTCGTTTCTTTCTATCTTGTCCTGATAAGCTCTTCATTATACCATTCAATTAGTATTCATAATATATATGTATAATGGAAAAGAATTTTTATGTTTCTTGAATCGAAGGTTGCTTTCCGCCGGATCTTTCAGCAGTAAGAAAAAATAATATAGGAGAACTATTATAATATTCCTTATAGAGATAGATAGATAGATAGATAGAGATAGAGATAGAGAGAGAGAGAGAGAGAGAGAGAGAGAGAGGGAGAGAGAATATGTGTTAAGCAGGACGTTTGACCGTTCCGAAAAATTCACTCGAGTTTCGGGAAAAACTCGTGAAGCACGTTTCAAATATGTCCGTGTGTTAGCTTTTGTCGAAAGGAGAGAAAAGATAGACGTGAAACGGAGCGGTGTCTCGCGTTTATCATCATCTTCCACGTTCCGTGCCATTAGATCGATGGGTCGCGTCTCTCTCTCTCTCTCTCTCTCTCTTTCTCTCTCTCTCTCTCGAACGGTGCCGGACAGTGACCCATTTGTCGTGTCCATGGTTTCCACCGATACACTCGTGTCCACATCTATAGACCTAGATCAACTGTGTGTAGGCACATACACGCGCTTATATACATTTTGAGTATATATACGTGTACTACATGGAAGGCTTTCCGGCATTGTTCATTGCGTTCCAACCATCCTCGTTGAACTTTCCACCGAGAGAGTCCTGAAAAGCTTTAGGTGACCTTTGCTCGGAAGAAAGATTACGTTCTCACGTTTGCAACACTCGAGTTAGTGAAACGAGAGAGAGACAGAGAGAGAGAGAGAGAGAGAGAGAGAGAAATATATTTAATGGACGTATTTAATAGCTCTGCCACCTCTGTTTCGTTGTCCCTCGTCATCGGTTCTTCGCCAGTCACATACATATAAACCTTCTAGGTTGAAAATATTTTCACGAGCCTCGTAGCGACCTTAATAGATCGCAAACAACGACACGACGACATAAACGTCGACGTGCGCGTCCCTGAGACATCCCAATACGTCGACCTTAAAATATCTTCTTGCTTCGCGAGGTTCGCGAGACGTTCTACTTTGGAACGGCCCGTCGAGACAGGAAAGGTATGAGATAGGTATTTCAAGAAAGAGAACTTTCCGAGCTTTTTTCCGGAGTATAACCTTCGTATGAATGAACATTGACTTTTTTCTTCGCGCGTCTTGTCAATAAGATACTAACCCGTTCCTCGATTGTTCCTTTTCATTGATATTTTCACTGATATTTCGTTATTCTCATAGAAAAGACATCTCTCATTTGATCTCATTCGCATCTCGAAAAACGTTATAGCACGATTACAAAGATTCTTATTTCAACCTTGAGAGAGTAAACAAAACGAAACAAAACAAAAAAAAAATTGGAACAAAAAACAAAAAGAGAAAAAGCAAGACAAAAAAAAGGAGAAAGAAAGAAACCGTCAAACCACAGATTGTTCTCGATTTGATCCATGATCGAACAGACGAGATAGAGTAGAAAATCTTTCGAACCGTATCCATATTCTTTTTCAATCGAACAAAGAAGAAACGAAAGGATTTCTCTCTTTCGTTCGTAGCGAACGAAAAGAAATAAAAATCGAATCATGAAGGTCGAATCGAGTTCGAAAACGGTAGCAACAGCATGGCACATCGAAGACGATAAAACCTCGTTTCTCGCGATATTTTTCAGTAGGCATCCTAAAGGACACGGTCTTTATCCTCGATCGGGCACGGCCCTGTCCGGCTAAGGATATATACACTCGAGAAAGCCAGCGTGTACCCTTCATTCACTTTGGCCTCGTCGCGAAACTTCATTTACTTGGCGCGCGCGCGAGGTCCATCGAGAGAAACAGATTTCTATGCGGCTGGATGGATGCTGCGCCCATCGACCGTCTCTCTCTCTCTCTCTCTCTCTCTCCCTCCCTCTTTCTCTTTCGTGTCCTTCGTGCGTGATGTATACTTGGTGTTCTATTTTAAACGATCCACGCAAGTATCGACGAAATTATTTGACGATTGATTTTGAATTACTATAATCTTGAAACACATATTTGCGTTTGCCTGTTGTGTATCACCGTATATAGAAATACGTATTTCTCTCTCTCCCTCTCTCTCTCTCTCTCTCTCTCTCTCTCTCACGCATACAGCATGCGAGAGCACGCGCCTTTCCACGCGCGCGTGTCATCTACATGTGTGTGTATAGATATATATATGCGCGCGTTTAACCTACATAAGCGGAATCGCGATTGGGCGAAGTAAATGGCGGACGATCTTTCGGATAATCGATATGCACGTCACCGTAACGACAGTCCTACTACTCGCGAGGAGAAAGCCAGGTTTCGCTTAGCTCGGAACTTTGCGAGGCAAAGTTTCTTTCAACTTTCCTAGAATCGACCATAAATACATACATATAATACATATATATATATAATATATATATATATATATATATATATATATATATATATATATATATATAGAAATGTTTTTTTTCCCAAATAAACATTGCGACCGACGACTTTTAATCCATTTTCATTTTGTCTGTTTACAGGGTATTATCAGCCGGCTGGACCACTGATACAGCACCCGCCAACATTACCCCCGGTTAAGGGCCCACCACCGGAACCAACTCCCACGCCTCCTCAAAACTCGGAAGGCTCGGACGATTTGGTCGCGACATCGACCACTTCCGGTGGCACGAGTAGTACAGGTGCATTCAGATATTCCTATACAGCGGATATTCCAGGTCCGTTTTCTACCTGACAAATTCGATTTATCATTCATCGCTAGATAGAGTCGAAAAAGAGAAAAAGGAAGAAAAGAATCGTAGCAATTTCGAAGGATATCATCTTATAGGTCTATCCCATTTTACGATCTCTTTCGAACGAATCCTTCCTTGTATGTTTCAGGTGGAGGAGGCTTTTATAGGGCATATTGCCCTTCCTATTATAGCACGCCACCTCAGTATCAAGATCTCTGTTATCCACCTACGTATACCCATCCTCACGCTCATCCTCCGCCGTACTACAAGTACGCGCCAACTTACAGAAGGTAAGAACGATATTCTCCAAAGTATCTTTTGGAGAAGGCAAACGTGTGAGGCACATTTGAGCCCGCAATGCGAATAGGGCCATTCTACCGAGTGGACTCTTCTAGCATTCTGTAAAAAGATTTCTTTGTAGGCAGTACTATGGGTATCAGGAATCTGGTGGAGGCGGAGGACCGGGAGGTGGAGGCACGGCTGGTGGTCCTGGAGTCGTTGACTATCAACCACCGCCACCGCCACCCGGAGAATATCCCTTACCTCCGTATTACGGGGGTTACCCTCCACCACCACCTCCGGCTAATCCAGCATATCTTCATTCTCAGGGAAGACCTTTCGTAGACCGTGAGTTTTCTTGTTTTTTTTTTTTTTTTTTTTTTTCCCCTTTAATGAAAACCCATGTCTTTTCTCTCCTCGAATGTGTTTTTATTAAATTCGACCTATGTTCGTGCCCTATCGTAGACGCAGCCTTCCAGGGTTGTCCGTGCCCGATGCAGTCATGTCCAAAAAACGTGGATACTGGGCCCCTTATTGGTAATGGTAAGGGAGCGCCAGTGGTATCGGGGCCCGGTCTGTCATTGCCGCCCAGTGCTTTGGTAGGTCCGCCCTCGCCAGCGAGGGGGCTAGCCGGGCTAGCGCCACCTCATGGTGCCAATGCCTGGGATACGGATCGTGTCCAACTCAACACTTTACGCAACCTCAATCAAAGCCAACCGGCTGTTCCACCGTCTCATAATCTCGTCGGTGGTCATAATCGTTCTCAGAACCCTGACTGCAGGAGCAAGGTACCGTTGCCTCCATTTCCCATAACTTTTCTATAATCTTCCATTCGTATTCGCATTTTCGTGTGCTAACTTTACGTTTTTTTTCTCTCTTTCCTTTTCTCTCTCTCTCTCTCTCTCTCTCTCTCTCTCTCTTCCTCTCTCGCCCCCCCCCTCCTCTTTCTTTCTCTTAGGACGAGAAGAATTGCACCGAGGACAAGTTGAGAAAGTGTGCCTGTCAGAAACACGGCTGCACATCTACTTGCGAGGTCAAGATGGAGACACTCTCGCCAAGCGAAAAGCTCACGGTTGGGAACTGTCCGAGCAGCAAGTTTCACGAATTCAAGCTCGAGAACAATAACGTTAAGTGCGAGTCCTGCAGCGTCGAGATCGGGGATAATTTGAGTTGCGCGGCGAATTGTAACGTGAAATGTGAGTCGGACTACAAGTGCGATATCATGAAGTGCGAGCAGTGCATGAAAGAGAGCAAAATGGCTATATTGGAGATTGACAAGGATTCGGGTATTTTACTGATCGACGATAAGCTCGACGCTGATCCGGACGTGAAGGAGGAACTCAACGACGTCGTGGTGATAGGTAATGAGAATTGGAAAAAGCCGGATTACGAGCCGACCGTTCAAGAAACGGTCGAAGATAAGGAAGAGATCCCGGTCGAAAAGATTCCGGTTGAGGTTGAACAACCAAAGTGTCAAAAGGTAACCAAACGAAAATTGTCGTTGGACAGTTTGTCGGATGGGCGTAAGAAAAGGAAGGTTAGCAAGAGAACTCTGTCGGTTGGCTCGACTCAAGATCTTAACGATAATACGAGCAAAGTGATAGGACCGATCGAGCCGCTTCTCGATAAGGTGGACGGTGTCAACGAAGCGTGCATTTCGAAAAAGAAACAGGCCAAGAAGGAGAGTCAGCAGGTACAGGGTCAGAAACGTAAAGCCGAGACTCCTAACAGTTCGGAATCCGCGTCGAAAAAGTCCAAGTGTACGAAACAAGCGGCGTGTAATAACAGCTTGACGAGTAATTCGAAATCTCCGGCTAGCGATACTTCCATCATGGAGACCATCGATAAGGTTATACAGCAGAGCTTGCAAATGACCCAGAAGAAGGATCGGAAGACAAAGATTAACGATAAGTCGGAAAATAAAAAGAACAAGGGTACTAGTATCTTAAAGAAGGTTGGTAAAAAGTTGGGCTTGGCTAAGGAATTGGAAAAAATATCGAAGATAGTAACGAAGATCAGTCAGAGCAAGGGTAAAACTGAGAAAACGAAGGGAAAAACGCAGGACGTCAAATCTAGAAGCAGAAGCAAGGGCAAATCGCAGGAGACAAAGTCTGCTAAAGGTCAGGATGCGAAATCGAAAGATAGCACGAAGAAAAACGAAGCAACGAGCAAAGGTTGTAAGACCGGTGGTGAGGCTAGCGAAGAAACGAAGAAGCCGGCATTGATCAAGAAGAAACGGAAGAGCGCGAAAAAGTCTAACGTAAAGAGAGCAACCTCCAAAATCGAGGATACCGTAGGAGGAAGCGAAAATTTGTCGCTCGCTAGAAAAACATTTTTAAAGCCGAAATGGAGTAACGGCTGGAGTTGGGAGGGTGACGCTTTCGAAGCCAAAGTTTACTTAACGGTAATAATATAATAATGATAATCTCGCGTGAGATTGTACAATATTCAAAAGGATTAATACAATTTTCATTCGATCGAAACTTATATATGTCCTTGTATGTATTCGTAGAACGAGGAGTCGGCTATACGTCGGTGTTACGCCAGCATGAAGCACGAGAGCGGCGATGTCCTGAGACCCAGAGACTGCGTTTTACTTAAGAGTGGACCAAGGAAGGCCGATTTGCCGTTCGTTGCGAAGATAGCAGCGCTTTGGGAAAATCCGGACGACGGTAAGTTAGTTTGAAATTTTTATCTCTATCCTTTCCCCCTAGTTGTTGTCTTTATTCGCCGTGTCTTCGACAGGTGATGAAAAAATATTTTATCTTTCCAGGTGAGATGATGTTTTCGCTACTGTGGTACTACAGGCCGGAACACACGGAACAGGGCCGCACGCAATGCGACACCGAGGACGAGGTGTTTGCTTCTCGCCACAGAGATGCCAACAGTGTCGCTTGCATAGAGGACAAGTGTTATATTCTAACGTTTAACGAGTATTGTCGGTGAGTTTACTCGTTTATAAAATATAAAACCAACTTTTTTTTTTTTTTTCTTTTTTCTTTTTTCTTTTATGACATTCCAATTGCAAATTTATACTTTCTCTTTTAGCTACCGCAAGAATTTGCGAAGAATCGAAGAGGGTTTGGAGAGTCCCGGTTTAATAGTTCCACCGGGGGACCAAGTATATCCGAGAAAGAATCGGCAACCGCCGATACCAGTACCGTCGGACATGGTACTCTTCTGTCGGCGCGTTTACGATTATCGCGGAAAAAAACTCGTGAAGAATCCTGGATGACTCGAATTCCTATAAGATACTTCGAATAGGAACAAATGGAATGCACAAAGTTTGCGGGCCACATTGAAACTGGACGCAGGTTTCCCCTCAAGCTTAATTAGCGTCGTATCGAGCGATTCTTCTTGATCTCTCTCTTTCTCACTCTATCTTTTTCCTCTTTTATTCACTCGTCAATTTTCAATAGGATCCTATTATTTCAGTGTCAATTTTAAAGAAACATTTTTTCTACATAATTTCCTTTCGAATTTCTCGCAATATTTTTCAAGAGTTTCTTTTTTTTTTTTTCTTTTTTTATCCTTTCTATATTATCAAATTATATATATTCTCACGAAACATACGTTTAAATTATTGCGAGATGATACAAATGAGATCACGATGAATCATTCATAAAAAAAAAAAAAATAAAAAAAAAAAAGAAAACCTGACGATATCCATTTCTAGATTACGCGTCGATCGAACGATCGTTTCTAAGATCCAACAAAAAAGACAACCGTTTGTTTGTTAATCATACGTATAATCCCACGCATAATTAATATATATATATATATATAATATATATATATATAAATATATAAATACACATATATATATACACATATATATGTGTGTGTGTGTGTATGTATATATATATATATATCTTTGATATCTTCCCGATATCTTTCCTACATCAATAGAACGATAGTAGAAGAAGAATACGATCGTTCGCAATCGACGCGAATCGTCGCGTATCGACGACGTAAGAGCGTTTATAGCGAATTAGTAGAATTTGACAATTTTATAGAAGAGAATATAATATTTTTTGCGACATAGAGCGTGTACGAGCTTTAAATGAATATTTTTCACATAGGAGGTACAAAATATACGACGCGGTCGTCTGTTAAAAGCGACGTGATCTTTCTTGGTGGGAACCTTCGGACAGTTTCAAAGTATAGGAATCAGAAAAAAGAAAAAAAAACAAGAAAAAGAAAAATAGAGCACTCGACCATATTTAGCGAAAAAAAGGAAAAAAAAAAAATAATAATAATAATAATACAGAAATTTAGCGATGTAAGGAGCGCGCGATACGCGTTTTCTCGCGTTTCTCGATTTAATGAAAAAGAAACATTCTGGTAGATCTAACAGCGGCAAGTGTGACGTGACACTTTCGTAAATCCATTTTGCGTAGCATCCATCGTTCGAAGTGAATATCGCAAGGTGTTCCGAGGTTAACGAGAGCACAGAACTGCAAAATAAAGGTAATGAATTCTTAAGAGAAGCAAGAAAAAAGAAAAAAGAAGAAAGAAAAAAAGAAAGAAAAAAGAAAGAAAGAAACAAAGGAACAACATGGGGGTGGGGGAAACAAAATTAAAGAAAAAAGGAAATACTGTCAGACCCGCGCACACGCATCATCATTCCCGAGTATATTATCATTATTGTTATCGTTAATCGACGATGTAAAACCCATTTTCTCGTGGTCCAGCACGTAGAGAAGAAGATAGAACGATTTCTGGATGTTTCTAAGCTCTATTTGATCGATGAGAAAAAACAAAAAAGAAATTAAGAAATAAACAAAAAGGAATAAAGAATCTCCTTACTCGCAGCTCCCATTCGTCGTCTTTATCGAAATCGTTTGATTTTTTTAAAAAGAGGAAAAAAAAATTTTTTGTTCGACGAATCGAACGTAATCGTTCTTTTTTTTTTTTTTTGTTTTTTTTTGTTTTTTTTCTTCTTTTCCCCGTGTCAAATACGACGCGCGAGTAATCGAATCCGGAGATTTGTTTTTAATCTCGAAAGAATTTTTACAGCAAACATTCGATCGGTAGATATTTTGTCCAGTCTCGAGTACGAATTGCTACAAAGTCGATGAATGAAAGGTTAAACGAGTCGCGTTTCACCAACGTTGGTTTTTTGTTTTGATTTTTTGTTTCTCTCTCTCTCTCTCTCTCCCTCTCCCCCCACCTCTCTCTCTCTATCTCTATCCAACAGAAGCAAACGCGGAAATTTTATTTTTTCATCCAATACCCTCATCGTCCGACGATAGTCTCCCATGCGCATCTACCACACATCATAGCCACGTACAAATATTCGCATATACGCGCACGCGCGTACACGCACACATACAAACACCATACTGCGAGTCTCGGGAATACACGATTTTCTTTTCTTTTTTCTTTTACATATTTTTCTCGCAACTTTGTCTTTTTGTTTCTTTTCTTTTCTTTTTTTTTTCTTCCCCCCTCTTTAATCACGATCTCTCGTTCAATCGCGCGAGAAGCGTGATTATTAATAATATTATTATTATTACTATTCTTCCCCTATAGTCCCTTCCTTATCGACCTCCTCCCCCCTTTAGTAGTAAATATTATTGCGAGTCATCGTAAAGTATAATCCATTTAGTGAGTAGCAAATGTATGACGGTAGTATGCCAAAAAAAAAAAAAAAAAGGAAATAATTAAAAAGAAAGAGAAGAGAGATGTACGTGTTCGAAAAGACGTCGAACGAGGAGAAATAAAAAATATTTCTATTTTAAATGACGTTAACGCGCGAGTTACGAGTAAAAGTCACGTGACTCCACGTCCGAAGATTCGTACATTAAACAAACACACACACACACATACACACACGCGGAATCTTTTCCCTTATTAATAATAAAAACGTTAGCCACTTCTATACAAAATTCCAAGTTGAAACGAACAACCACGTTAATTTTGTTTATTTGTTGAATGGAGGGTGATTTGTTAGAAATTATATTATTTAAAATTAATATATTTGATGATACGATTTTCTTATTATTATTATTATTATTATTATTATTATTATTATTATTATTATTATTATTATTATTATTATTACTATTATTATTATTATTATTATTATTATTACTCTTCTTATATATTATAACTATTATATTATATAATTATTATTTTTATTATTATCATCAATCACCATTATTATTATTGTCGTCATTATCATTCTCATTGTCGACACCACCATTATCATTATTATTATAACTATTATTATATTACTATTATTATTATTATTATTATTATTATTATTATTATTATTATTATTATTATTATTATTATTATTATTATTATTATTATTATTATTATTAATATTATTATTATTATTATTATTATTTAATATATAATATATTGGACATAGGCGTTAAGTTATATCTCATGGGCATACGAAAGAGAAAGTATGAGAGTGAAAAGCGTGCCTGTTCTTTGCGTATGTATGTAAGACATGAGAAAGAGAGAGAGAGAGAGAGAGAGAGAGAGAGAGAGAGAGAGAGAGAGAGAGAGAGAGAGAGAGAGAGAGAGAGAGAGAGAGAGACACGATAATCGATAAATGGAAAATACAAAAAAGGATAAGGTAGAAATATGTTTGAACGAAATACGAAAATAACCCCTTTCCCCAAGTACCAAAATATGCTCATATGAAAAATTGTCTTCGACCGTGATTATTTGGTGTAAACATACGATATATGTGTGTATATATATATATACACCCACACACACACACATGATATATATGTATATATACAGAGACACACACTCACACGTATATATACATGAATTTTATATTTAGTAATTTATTTGGTACTAATTAATTTAGCGAGAAACTATTTAGAAACTGATGCGAAATCTCGATGATCGATATTCAACGATATAGAAAAGAGAGGTAATAGGTGACCTTAGATACGTAATTAGATAAGTAATGAAATAAATCCAAAGATGAGGAAAATCTTTTTACGATCGTCGAGAGATTGCGTCGTTGTGCATACTTCCAGGATTTTTACAGCTATATACACAGACATACACATATATACACACAATTTAATATTCCTCTATAGATTCTTTTGAATATTTTTTCTATTTTATTAAAAATTTCTTTTTAATTTTCTTCTTTTTCTCTTAATGTCGTAAGCAATGACAGACAGACAGAGAGAGAGAGAGAGAGAGAGAGAGAGAGAGAGAGAGAGAGAGAGAGAGAGAAGAGAGAGAGAGAGAGAGAGAGAGAAAGGGAAAAAGAGAAAGACTCGTCGATTGGATTTTACAAAACAGACCGAAGATTAACGCGCAATAAAATAATTTAGCGATTAATTAGTGGAAATCATCGAAAGCGATCGTGGACAGATTGCTATGTTGTAAATACTTGTATTTTACTCGCGTTTCACGTTAAGAACTTGAGAAATGTTTTGACTTTTTACGAAAAGAAGCAAACGAAAAGAGATGGAATGCTTTTCGAGTATAATGATTGAGAGTGAAGAAGAAAATAAATGCGTTGGTGAAGACGATGAAAAATGCGGTGAAAGACGCGCATAAGGAGAAGAGAAAAAAAGGAAAAATATTACATGCATATATATAATCTATATAAATTGTTTACATGGGAACATTGCACAAAAATGCATATCCTCCGTTAATTTCTTATCGCTGCCGAATTCCCATTGAAGACTGTAATTTTCGTAAAAAGATGGAGAGAGAGAGAGAGAGAGAGAGAGAGAGAGAGAGAGAGAGAGAGAATGATAAGAAGATTAAAATGAAAGAATGAGAATGAGAATGAATGAGTGAAAGAGAGAAAGAAAGAAAGAGAGGAAGGAAGGAAGGAAGGAAGGAAGAAAAAAGAAAGAAAGAGACGCACGAGTCTCGACGTAAAAATTTTACACGTGTGAGCCTCTCCCTTGTGCATTGGCTTTTATCAAAAAATACAACAGTTTGCGAACAATGAACCAATGAAATTTTATCGTTGAAATAATATCGTCGAACAGTTCGTTGCTTCGTTCGAGAGACAAAAAAAAAATATAATCGAAAAAAGTTGATTCGTAATCCATTCTTTGTTCTTTATGCTTTCTTTTCACTTTTCATGTAGAATAATGCGAAATTTAATCTATTGCGATGTAAGGAAAGTAATAAAATTTCGAATGATGCGTTCTTCATTTAATTTTTCTTCTTTCTTTCTTTTCTTTTTTCTTTTCCTTTTTCTACTTCTTTTTTCTTTTTTTTTTTGATTTGTCAACTCAAACAAATTAATTACTGGTAATGATAAAAGAACGAGACGGTAAACTGAACGACGATTCTCTCTGAAAAAGAGATAAAATAAAAGAAAAAAAATAGGGAGGGAGAGAGAGAGAGAGAGAAAGGGAAAGGAGAAAGAATTATTGTTTCTACACGAAAATTAAGATAAAGATATATGAGACATATATATATGTATTTATATATATATATGTAAATATATAAAATTATATAAATATATATATATATATATATATTAGAATAATGAAGGTATATAATATAAATATATACATATAAATGTATATGATCAAGATGAGTAGAATGATACGAAAAAGCTGGAGCGGGAAAAATGATCGTAGGAAAAGAAAGAGAGATGTGGAAGGTGTCTCGTATGAGAAGAAAAAAAAAGGGACAAATGTTAACACTTAAAAATGCATATAGCATACAGACCGGAGGGTATATACACGCGCGTACACACATACCAACACATACATACGAATAAAAAAATTCGTACGTATGTGCGCGTAAACACAGGTACAGTACAGAGAAATACGTGATACTTCAAAAAACAAGAAAATGATGACGACGAACAAAAAAAAAAAAGAAAAAAAAAAAAGAAAAAGAACGAAAGAAAGAAAAAGACAAAGAAAAGTGCCAGAGGCGCGTTCCTAGAAATTTTATCACTGCTAAATGCATATACACGTACATAAACACGAAAACACACATAAATACGAACTCTTTTATGTCCCCCCGCCTGTCGTCTCAGCATACCTCGGCCATACTTTTAACGAGAGTCTGCCTTTTATGAAGTAAATTTTCCTTTTGGTCTGTTTTAGATCAATGCGCTTCGAAAACCGATAAAATATGTATCTATCTCTGTCTCTGTGATCTCGTTCGTGGACTTTCTAAACGATATGGTCGACGACACGATCGCCATTTTTGAGACGAACTAGATGTATTTATAATTAGCGTAATCACCGATGGAAAAGGACGCTTCTATCTCGAATAAATTACGACGATAGGAGCCGATCGTTTCATTTGTGAATAACGTTTAGGACAAATTCTAGATTCTTTGCACGATGGAATTAAAACGATTACCGATGTAAAAATATTTTTCTTTTCTTTTTTTATTTGTTATAGAAAAAAAAAAAATACTGATTAATCTTCTCTGGATGATAAAAAATTTGCATATCATTTCTCTCTCTCTCTCTCTCTCTCTCACTCTCTTTTTCTTTAATTTTGTGTTTTTACATTGATATCCATGTTTCAGAAAAAAATAAAAAAATAGAAAAATAAAAAAATGAATAAAAAAATAAAAAAGGTAAAAAAATGAAAAACATGTTAACATATTCATTAATTAAGACACTTTCGTTCCATCGCGCGCAGAATCTCTCTCTCTCTCTCTCTCTCTCTCTCTGTCTCTCTCTCTACTTAAACGAGTTAATAATTAAACGGTATATAAAGAGAAAGAAAAAAAATGTTTTCGGTGATTCCCACTCGCGAGTTGCTAATTGAGGAACAGAATAAAATTAATAATAATAATTATAATAATAATAATAATAATAATAATAATAATAATAATAATAATAATAATAATAATAATAATAATAAGAATAATAATAATAATAAGAGGATTATAAAAAGAGAAAAGTTACTAGAGAGAGCGATAAAATACAGGACACAGAAATACAACACATAATACACAGATACACACGCATCGATCAGTCCGATAAGTTTTCTCTCCTGCGAACCGACCGATCGTTTCACCGCCACTGAGAGCTTCCTCGAGGTGTCACGCGTTACTTTCAACGGTATTTCGTACAAATACTATATTAACTTTTTAGGCGTAATGTAAGCTTCGTAGAGAGAACAAACGAAAATAAGAAAAAAAAAAAAAAAAGAAAAAAAAAAGAAAGAAAGAAAGGAAGGAAAGAAGGAAGGATGGAAAGAATTAAGAAAATAAAACAGAGAGAAAAATATGAGCAGGAAAAGCGCGGATCGCAACGGACACGAGCGGTCATTTTAATAAATTATATTTATATATGTATATCACACGCGTATTATACATATGTACGTATAATATATATAATATATCAAACGAACGAAATTCGTTTCGTGACTTTTCTAGGATTCGAGATCTAAGTTGATCTCTCTCTGAAAGATAAATGAAAGAAAAACTATAAACAAAAGAAAAAAGAAGAATATGAAGATGAAGAAGAAGAAGAAGAAGAAGAAGAAGCCGCCGCTTTCGTCTCGTTGCGATTCTTTTTAGTACCGCAATGTGTTTTTCACGGATAACTCGACGTAAACTTTCGCGACCAACCGCAAAAAGATTCGCGAACGACGTGGAGGATACTCGTCGTTGTCTTGTAACATTGTAAAATACCATGAAATGGCGAACGTTTAATAAATTATTTGATCAGAATCTATCTTCTCTTCCTCCCCCGTCTTCATATTCATCTTTTCTTTTCTCTTTCTTTTTTCTACTTATGTTTTAGAGGTAACACGCTCGATCGTATCAAGATCTTTTTCTTTTCTTTTTTTTTTTCTATTTCTTCCTCGTCGAAGAGGATCAATTTTACGGTGGACGGCGTTAATCCGAAAAGAATCATCGATCCCAACACGAATCTCTCGATCTTTACGATAATTACAACGTATAGACGCGATAATCGTTCGATCGTTCGAATCCTTTTTAGAAGAAGAAGAAGAAAAAACTCTGCCGTCTAATCCTAACCCTAAGATAAATTCATTCATCTAGGATTATATTGTTTCCTCTCATTGTTCGTTCCATTAAGAAAACTCGTTCAAAGTACTTCCGACCAGAGGGAGGAAAGAGAGAGAAAGAGAGTTTGGGTTGCGGAACGCGCGCGAACTTTTAAAGTTTGAAAGCGGCGTAAAACAAACATGAAAAATAAAAATAAAAATAAAAAGAAGAAGAAGGAAGTCGAGGCTAAGCCGAAAAGCCCAAAGTCAGGGACCGTCATCACGGGCGCGCGTGTCCGGCTCGCTGCCCGCCGAGATTATATTAATTCGATTAACGAATGCCGCTCGTTGAAGGGTTCCGGATATATACCCACATATATATATATATATATATATATATATATATAAAATATATATATATATGTGTATGTGTGTGTGCATGTGTTATACATGTATATATAAATGTAGAGAGACAGAGAGAAAGAGAGATAGAGAAGAGGTCCGTTCCTCTCTCGTGGATTTCTCTCCTTTGGATGGTCTTTGCGTTTCGTTCGCGGCCGAGACGGTTCGAAATAATCGGTCGGCCAAATAAATCCGATGATTTTTTCTTCTTTCTTCGGCTCGGTTCTTCTGCCGTGCAACTTATAATTTCAAGACGTTAAATTTCAAGCTGTCAAGACCCAAGAGAATCTGGTCCATCGCGTCGAAGGAGATCGCGTGACTCTTACGCCTACCTCGTTACCTGCGTTTTCTCTCAATCTTATTCCATCTTACAATGTACCGTTTTCTCTTTTTTCTACTTCTCCCCAATCCTCCCCCCCCCCGTCCGTCGATCACGTGTAGGATAAACGTGTATTATTTCGTTCTAGGAGAATTTCATCTGAAATGTCGTTAAATTTTGATAGTCGAAAAGGATATTTCTCGTAAAAGGCAAAATGTATGTGTATTTGAGAGGAATAAAAAAAAAAAAAAAAAGAAGAAAAAAGAAAATAAAATGTATAGAAAAAAAGAAAATGGTACGGGGGAGGGGAAAAAACGATCGAACTCGGATAATCTTCCAATCGCATATGACGCGGGTACACGGCGAATACAGTGAAATCGGCCGTCCTGCCTCTCCGGCCCCCCTCCCTTCCCGTAGGCGATCCATCCATCCGTTCGTTTCCGCAGGTTTCTGCTGCGTGCGCTACCACGCAGCATCCTTCTGGATCCGGA